GTCCTATGCCTCTTTATCCCACTCTTGTTGCACAGCTCTTCAAACTGATGATTGCAGTACTCTAACCCATTGTCAGTCCTCAAACATTTTATCTTCTTGTCAGTGTGATTCTCAACCATCTCTTTCCACTCTTTGAACTTGAGAAATGCCTCATCTTTCGTTCTCAAGAAGAATACCCAAACCTTTTTAGAAAAGTCATCTATAAAGCTGATGAAGTACTTACATCCTCCTAGGCTCTCTGTGTTTGATGGCGATCCCCATAAGTCTGAGTGGACATACTCTAATATGCTTTCCGTCGTATGCTTTGCAGTTGGAAAACTCTGCCTGTGGGACTTGCCCAAAACACAATCCTCACAGAAGCCCATCTCCCCTGCTTCCTCCTTTGGAATGTACCCATCTTTGACCAGAATTTCAAAATTCTTCTTACTAATGTGTCCCAACCTCGAGTGCCAAAGCATGGTGATCTCTTCCTTTGGCATTGCAGCATTAGCCTCTCCTCTTATAACAGACCCTTGTAGATAGTACAATCCTTCATTGTATTTACCACTGATCACCTTCTGATCATTCTTGTAAAAAGTAACTGAGAAGTCTCCTCCTATGTATCTGCATCCAGATTTTTCAAGCATACCATATGAGATCAAATTTCGCCTCATTTGAGGCATGTACCTTACCCCAGTGAGGACAACTTCCTCTCCATCTTCATTCAGAATCCTTATCTTCCCAATGCCTTTGACCTCACTTTCAGTGTTGTTCGCCATAAGAACCTTTCCTCCATCAGATTCCTCCAGGTCAAATAGGACTCCTTTGTCAGGAGTTATGTGGAACGTGCACCCAGAGTCAAGAATCCAAGCTCCTGATGTGTCTCTTGTACTTGCAGTTAGGATCATTGGTTGCCTTATCTCATGAGCAGTGTTGGCTGCTGGTTCTGAGTTGTTCCGTTGATCTTTATTAGGACATTCCCTTTTCCAGTGTCCCTCTTTGCCGCATATAAAACATCCACCTTGCTTCACTTTGTCTGATCTTCCTCTGGACTTTGACCTTTCACCTCGGCTCTTTGATCTGTGGTTCTTCCTGTAGTCCTTCCTCGTTCCATTATCAGATTGACGCCTTGAAGACCTTCCTCGTGATTCAACGTATAGACCCTCAGCACCACTCTTCTTCTTTCCCAACAAACCCTTCTGCCTTAGTTCAGCTTCCTTAGAATAAGCAGATGTCACAACTTCGGTGACAGTGAGTGTCTCTTTCCCAGTACCATACTGCAGAGTATGTACTAATTGCTCAAACGCAGGTGGAAGTCCGGATAGAAGTTGGATCGCTTGGTCCTCATCAGAGACAGTAACTTTAAGACTTTCCAGATCTGCGATCAGCTTGAGAAAGATATCAACATTCTCCTCAATAGTCTTGTCCTCCTCCATCTTATAGCAGGAGAATTGTTTCTTAAGATATATCCTATTAGGAAGTGACTTCGTTTGATATATCTTCTCCATTGCCTTCCACATTCCCAATGCAGTCGGTTCCGTCATGATCTTTCTCAAGATTGAGTCACTGACGCATGTTCCAAGTAAGCTCCTTGTTCTTAGATCTTTTGCAGCCTTCTTCTGATCTATAACAGGTGAAGATCCTTCTTCTTGCTTATCAGATGTTGAGTAAACAGAGAACCCTTCAGTGATTGTAGCTAACAGCCCTTGAATCTCCAGTTGTCCCATAAGCTTGAATTTCCAAAGACTGAAGTCACCTTTCCCATCGAACTTATCCATCTGGAATTTTCCCATTGTTGGTTTCATCTCACCTCCTTCCATCGATCCCAAAAGAACTGCGACAAATCTTGAATCAACTTCGACAAAGCTTCCTTTGATTCAAGATACACACAGCTGAACAACAATACACTCCTCACTGCGTAATCCAGAACCTGGATGCTCTGATACCACTTGTAGAGTTTTAAACCAATTCAGCTTAAGATCTTGATCGATTCAACCTACGATTGAGTTATCTAGGTTTGACTTTGGGAAAACTTCAAGAACACGTACACAAGCTTTTGTTAACCCTGTGTTCGCTGATCTACTCACAGGGGAGGGAAAAGAACGTCCCTCGGCGCGTTTTATTATCTTCAGAGAACTCACAACAATGGCGATCTACAAAGATAATATACAGAGATCTCCCTCTATCTACGAACAGAGTAGATGATCAACTTACACTGCGTAATTGATCTCTCCTTTCTACCTCTGTGAAGTGCGACGCTTCTCAAGCTCCTCTAGCACCGTCGTATCTTCCGATGAGATCGCCTTCTCTGAGATATCTTCTTCTTCGATGATTGTAACAAACTCGTCAACGAAGCCTTTATACGTAACAACCTCTTGTTGCTTACGTGTAACCGTCAAACCAAAACGTCATCGTTCTGATTACTAAACCAAGTACACCCTACTCGGTTTAATCCTTTCAGCTTAACCGGAGTTTAATTGAACCAGACTTTACAACTCCATCAGTTTAGACGATTCTCGATAGATCTTAGTTTCTATGTATGCAACTTGTAGGAATCTATGTAGGCAATGGAGAAGTCATACATTTCACTTGTGGAGGTGGTTTAGAGACAAGGACAGGGACTTTCATGGACAACATCATAGTCAGTTCAGTTCCTAACCATGGAGGTAACAACCAATTGATCCAACCATTCATGTAGCCTTCAACCATCAACAATTCCATATGGAGTCGAGCTTCTGATTACTTATAGGAAAAGAATTGGTTATAATGTGGTCGGATAATCTTCATGAATGGATTAAAATTAGTAGAAGAAGTAAAGAAATTGTCGTGACCGAGGAAAACTAATCATTAGTTATTGTTTTTCTATTTTTGCCTACTAGAATTCAAATATGGATCCCTTTTTATAGTTTTTCTTTAATTGTATATGTTTTGTAAATTTTACCATATTCAATAAAAAAAACATGGGTCTGATTGGGGTGGACACAATTACTTGCTACTCGGCTTGTATTTGGTACTTGACTCTTAGAATCGAGTACTCGTTTTGTTCAAGTCGAGTATCAAGTCGTTTATTTCAATTACTTGCAAGTACAAGACAAGTACCAAAGTACTAAAATAAAAATAACTACTTGGCGTTGTTGGCTTGTTACTTGTGACTTATTACTTGATTTATTACCCGTTTTTTACTTTTAGAGAAAACATTTTTAATCTTAGTAAAAACATGATGATTTATTACTTGATTTATTAGGCCCAAATAATTAATATTAAAAACACAACTATAATAAATGAGCGAATTTGAAAAAGATAGATGATTTGTATTTCTTTTTGGACAAACGCCAGACTGCGAGATTTTTATGCTCAACAAATGATTTTTTGATACATTTCATGTTAGTTTTCTATTTTTTTTGTTATACTCTTTTCTGTTGCTTAAACTATTTTACTAAACCAGAAATGATTATAATTCATTGATTCAATTCAATAAAAAATTTAGGATTAATCTATGTTCATGATCTCTAAATACTTTTAACAAATAATTATATATTTAGAAGTAGAATAATTCTTAAAATCAATTTGAAAACTAATAGATCGGTTTTGTTGAATCTGTAAAGAAAAATTTACCAACAGATGATAATTTTTCAGACATGAATGAATATCATCAAAAGTAGTGCAAAATCGTATTTGTGATCAGTTTCTAAATAGGTGTCTTAATTGTATTATAGGAAAAACTATTTGAAATTGTAGTAAATGAAAACGTGATAAATATTTTTTTTGCTAAATAATGTGATAAATAATTTCAAACTATAAAGGATCGTAGAATATATTTATAGTTTTTTATGGTTTATAAATTATGTTTGGATCATAGAATATATTTATAGTTTTATGATAGTTTATAAATTATGTTTTTGAAAAAATTGACCCCAACACAAAATGTTTCTGGCTCCGCCACTAAGTGTAGCGATACCATTTCTTGAGACTGCCACTCGAAAGTTCTACTTCGGTAAGTGATTGTTCTTATTCCTTATGATTATGTTTTTATTTGTTGTGATAAGAATTTTTTATTTTTTTACAGGATTCATCTCTGTTTGCTGTGACAGAGATGATTGTTTGTAGGAATACCGAGTTTCCATCTGAAACCGATTTTGAAGAGTCAATGCTTGATCATTTGGTACACACCCCTCTTGCTATATGAGTTCTTTCCTACCCTTATTTGTTTGCGCAGCCGAAGCAGTTCACAAATAATGTTTTTTGCTTCCTTATATATTTTATTTGCTCAATTGTTTTTTTTTATTACTTGGAGCTTCTATTTTATTGTAACAAAGATTTCACTGCCCAACTTTGGAGGAGGTCAACTCTATTTGGCCTACCAACCACGTGATGTGCTGTACTGACAGAGGGATTAAGCATGGCAACCCATACGTGCAACTCCAGTACATCGTTCTGCTGGGGAAGCAAGGTGGTTTTCTGCTGATGCCACTGGGAAAGCGTGTTATTACGCACTTCATGGAGATTGCAAGTACTCATATTCGGGCGGATGAGATGGAATGCGAGTATTAGTATTAATTAGGAAGATGACTTGTTGTTGGATATTATTTTCTTTTTTATATTCCACAACTTTTGATATTAATCTCTCTATTCTGGATATTACTCTCTTTTGAATATCAAGTATGTTATGCTCAATAATCATTAATCTCTAATTGAATCAGTATGAAACAACATAGAAATTTTTTGTTGTATATATTACTCTCTTTTAATATCAAGTATGTTATGCTCAATAATCATTAATTTCTAATTGAATCAGTATGAAACAACATAGAATTTTTTGTTGTATATATTACTCTCTTTTGAATATCAAGTATGTTATGCTCGATAATCATTAATCTCTAATTGAATCAGTATGAAACAACATAGATTTTTTTTGTTGTATCTAATCACTAAAGGACTCAAAAAGGTAGATCAACCTTTCCAACACTTAACCAAGCCAAACAAAGCTGAACCGGATGTTCTCTACCCAAATTAAACCTTCCAAAAACGAACACCTAAAAATTGAAACGCAAACCAAGAGACAAAGAGTCATGGTTTGTAGTAAACCGGAAAGAGAGTAAAGTGAAAAAAAAAACCCTAACACAAGAGGAAAGAATCATTCCGTGGTCTCGCTCGCGGCGCTTCTACCATCTCTTTCCGTGTCTCGAGAAGATGGGATTCCTCTCTCAACAGATCTCAAGAGATGAACTCAAACCAGGAGATCACATCTATTCATGGCGTAGCGCTTACATCTACTCTCATCACGGTTCAAACTCTCTTCCCTTAACACTCCATCAGTTTAGACGATTCTCGCTAGATCTTAGTTTCTATGTATGCAACTTGTAGGAATCTATGTAGGGAATGGAGAAGTGATACATTTCACTTGTGGAGGTGGTTTAGAGACAAGGACAGGGACTTTCGTGGACAACATCATCGTTAGTTCAGTTCCTAACCACGGAGGTAACAACCCTTGTCCTAACTGTGGAGACCAATCAAATCTCGACGGTGTGATCTCTTCATGCCTTGACTGTTTCCTCGCGGGAGGAAACCTCTATCTATTCGAGTACGGTGTCTCTAAACCCATCTTTATGGCTAAGCCACGTGGCGGTATCTGCACAACAGCTGTTTCGGACTCCTCTGATGAAACCATTCACCGTGCGAGATACCTTTTAACCAAGAAAAACGGGTTTGGTGTGTATGATCTGTTGAAAAACAACTGTGAAGATTTTGCGATTTATTGCAAGACTGGTTTGATGGTTTTGTCTAAGCTGGGGAGTAGTGGACAGGCTAACTCGTGGTCTGCGGCGCGTGGTGTTTTTTCGTTTGCGGGGACGGTGAAGAGTGTTTCTGTTGGTTCTGCTGCGAGGGTTGTTGTTTCTGGTTTTGCTGGTATTGGTGTTATGGCTGTGGTGGGGTATGGTAACTACTGCTATGGTCGTTTGAATGCTGACATTGGTGTGAGAAATGATGCAAACAAGTTTCCTGTGGAAGCGCTTGTTACGCTTATTGCAATTATTGAAGGCAGAGTTGTGGATGAGAAGAAGTGTAGCTAAGTTTAGCTACTTGTTGTCGTGTGATTATGAGTGTTTGATGTTTGACTGATTGTTTGCTTCTGTTTTCTTTGTATGTGACCATGTGTGCTGCACCCTGTATTTTGACACTACTTATCATGTGAAAATACAGCCAAAATAACATTATTGCTTTATCCAAAGTCTTGGTTTATTTTGGAAGACTGTTGAAACAAAACAACAAACAAACATAAGTGGCAGAGGAATGGTGTTTGATCATTTGACTTCCATTAGTTCGGCTCCTTGGTTGATTTGAATTTTTAGTGTTGCAGTAGTCATTATCAATAACCAAACAAAGGTCTCCACACAAGAAGGTTTTCTGATCATAATCCATTACAATCACACAAGAGTACAACATGCTTTTGTCTCTTTATCTTCTTAACCACCTTGTCGTTTCTTAGTTATTATTAACTAACAAGTCACCTAGTTGTTGTTGTAGTGGATTACATAACCTGGTGCTTCTACTTTTGTTGAATCGTGGAACTCTATCTTTGTTATGAATCTTATGATACAATAAAAACTCTGTATATTATACGGTTGAAATTATGATAATTTATTAATTTAAAAACTCCTTTTTAGATTTATAATTATAAACTATTTTATTTTCATTTTTATAAGAATTCTTTTTTACTCCAGGAGATTGTATAGTAATTAAGTTTTATAGATTTGGAATTTTTTTATTAAAGATTATTTGATAAATTTAGTAGTGGAATTATGTATCTTAAAATATTAATACATTTTAGATGTAATTCAACAAAATAACATTTAAATATGGAAACACAATCTTAAAATATTAATACATTTTAGATGCAATTCAACAAAATAACATTTGAATACTGAAACACAAAGAAAATGTATAGGAATTTATTTTAAAAGAAAATTGCATATCTAACTCTTTACAAGTTTTATACATAGTAGTATTAATTTATAAATTTATAGACAATGTATTTGTTTAAAAGTTTTCAAATTTTATTACCCTATTATTTTATTGAGTTATGTAATATTTTATATTGGCTTAATTTACTACCAGAAATATTTATTAATTGATTGAATATTAATATACATTTTTGTAAAATTCTTTTGCCGGGGTTAAGTTAATTATTAATACAAAACCAGTTGACTTTAAAGGTTTTTTTTTTTGGGTTAACGTAAAGGTTTGGTTTTTTTTTTTTTTTTTTGAACTGAGGCGTAAAGGTTTGGTTTTTAAAACCAACAAATCTTAGAAAAACTCAGGAAACCCCAATTGATCCAAGCCAGAGATGGAATCCATTCTTCTAGAGAAGATAGGATTATTCTCCAACAAGATCTCCAAAGACGATCTGAAACCTGGAGATCACATCTATTCATGGCGCAACGCTTATATCTATTCCCATCACGGTAACACCCATCTCCTCCTCTCTCTTCTGGGTTTATTCAAGATCCGAACTTTATATTTGCAATCTCACAGGAATCTACATAGGAGATGGAAAGGTCATTCATTTCACACGTGGAGGCGGTCTTGAAATCGGAACAGGAACTTTCTTAGACAAGCTCATCATCAGCTCTATTACAAATCACGGAGGAGACAACCCTTGTCCTAACAACTGTGGAAAACAAACAAACAACAAACATGGAGTTATCTCTTCTTGTCTTGATTGCTTTCTGTCAGGAGGAGATTTGCTTCTCTTCGAGTACAGTGTCTCTCCGGCTCTGTTCATGGCCAAGCTTCGAGGTGGGACCTGCACGACAGCGAGTTCGGATCCTTGTGAGGAAGTGATCTCTCGTGCGGAGTTTCTGTTGTTGAGAAATGGGTTTGGGGAGTATCATGTTTTCGAGAATAACTGTGAGGATTTTGCTATGTATTGTAAGACGGGTTTGGTTGTGGGGAGAAGTTATGTGCTTGGGAGGAGTGGGCAGGCTAATTCGGTGAGTGCTGTTGCGTGTGTTGCACGTTTGGTTAGTCCTTGGGCTAGTAATGCTATTCGTTTGTGTTCGGATATTGGTATGCGGAGTGATGCTGTTAAAGTGCCTGTGGAGAGTCTCGTTGCTCGGTTTAGTCAGGTTGATTCATTGGCAAAGGAAAGCTGACTTTGATTTTGGTTCTGATTTGTGTGTATTTGATTCTTGGTTTGATGCAAATATTTAATCTGCTTCTAAATATATTTGAACTGTTTAAACTCTATTGGTATGATGTGTGAATACAGTTTAATTGAGGTCTTTTCATTGTTTTTTTTTTTTTTTGTGTTTGTGTAAAACGTAAACGCGTAAAGCAGGCAAGAGATGTGGTTGATTCTTTTACTTACTCGTTATAACCACGCAAGAGAGATGTGGTTGTTGTATCTGTTACGAAAGGATTTGTTTTTGCTTAATCAAGAAAGATACACGGTTTCAAATATTAAATTAACGTTGACTCTGCACAGCTTTCATCATCAGAGATTAAATTAAAGTTTGATTAATGGTTGGTTAAAATTTTCGTAGGGGATAGATACAAGCACACAACCAACTGTTCAACTTCACAAGACCTAAGAGGTTGGAACTGTAAGTTATGATGATGACTATTAGATTCAGACGTAACAAACACCAGCTTCTGGTCTAGAGAAAACCGTTGTTGATCAAAAAAAAAAAAAAAAGAGAATTGTTGTTGACTCGTGAAAGGAGAGAACATAAATATAGGAGTTGACATTCAGCTATCGGTTCGGTTCGGTTCGATTATTTTAATAGAATTAAAAGTGTGGTCTGATTCGGTTTGCTTTGTTATAAAATAATACCGATTAAAATTTTAATCAATACCGGTTTAATTCATTCTAATGCTTCGGTTTATATATGCGAGAGAAGCCGACGAGGGTGGAGACAGTCGAGACCACACCAGTGTAGAGAGAGAGTCTTGATTGACTCAACAAAGAAGACGATGAATTCGAAGAAGGGAAATTAGCTAATCTCGAGAGACAAATCTTTATCTCCAATTTCTCAATCTCATTTTGATTGTCCTCATCGAGAAATCATGTCTTGGCTCCCTGTAGAATCCGATCCTGGTAATCTTTTTTTTCTTTCAAAATCTGGGGGTTTTATTGTCTAATAGTTCCTTATTGTTCTCAGCTTCTGATAATAGACATCAATGATTGGTCATATACTAAGTTTATAGTGTCTGTGTAAAGCCCATACATGTAAAAGACACAATGTTTGCTATCTTGTTCGTAATGTTTTAGGTGTTTTCACGGAGATTATACAACAAATGCAAGTGAAAGGTGTGCAAGTTGAAGAGTTGTATTCATTGGACATTACTTCTCTTGATGAAATAAGGTTAATACACACTCTTTTCTTGCTTCTTGTTTCTGAAATAAAACATAGTCAACAACACTGTTTGTGTTCTTCTTTGTGTTTAGACCTGTATACGGATTGGTATTGCTTTACAAATGGCGTCCTGATGAAAAGGAGTCTCGTCCTGTAATCACTGAACCAAACCCAAACTTCTTCTTCGCCAGCCAGGTCCCCACTTCTAGATTTCTAACTCATGCAGGGAAGGTTATTAATAACCGTATGTGTATGTTTTTTTCTTGCAGATAATCAACAATGGTTGTGCTACACAAGCCTTACTGTCTGTTCTCATGAACTCTTCCAGTATCGAGATCGGTTCTGAACTATCAGAACTGAAACAATTCGCTAAAGACTTTCCAGCTGAACTCAAAGGTTTAGCCATCAGCAACAACGAGGCGATACGTGCAGCTCACAACACCTTTGCTAGGCCTGACTCATCTTCCACCACCACGGAAGAAGATGAGTTATCCGCTAGGAGGAAGAAAAAAGAAGATGAAGCTGATGATGATGTGTATCATTACATCAGCTACTTACCTGTCGACGGTATCTTATACGAGCTTGATGGTCTTAAAGAAGGACCTATTAGCCTTGGACAATGTCTCGGTGAGCCAGAAGGAATCGAGTGGGTCAAAATGGTTCAACCAGTGGTGCAAGAGAGGATTGATCGGTATCTGCAGAACGAGATTCGGTTTAGTCTCTTGGCTGTGGTTAAGAACAGGAAAGAGATGTATAGGGCTGAGCTTAAAGAGTATCAGTTGAAGCGGGAGAGGATTTTGCAGCAGGTGGGTACCTTGCAAGCTGATAAGTACGCTGAGAAGAGCAGCTACGAGGCTCTGGATAAGTCTCTTTCTGAAGTCAATGTCGGCATCGAGACCGTGTCGCAGAAGATTGTAATGGAGGAAGAGAGGTCTAAGAACTGGAAGAAAGAGAATCTGAGGAGGAAACATAACTATGTTCCTTTCCTCTTTAACTTCCTCAAGATTCTTGCGGACAAGAAGAAGCTGAAGCCTCTGATTGAGAAAGCTAGACGTAATACCTGAATCAGCTTTATGCCAAGGAGGATATTAAAACTTATATGTATGAGAGGTTTTGATTGTATTCAGTCTAAGGATTTTTTGTAGAACCAAATCTCTTAATTACATGAAACAATAAATCAAACACAATTACAAAACTTGTTCTCTTCGTTTATGTCAAAAACTTCGTATAATGATGGTAGATATCTCAGCTGCTGCAATCATCATCACTCGTACCTGGTGGTTGTGAAAGAAGAGAGTAAACCGGCTGCTTGAGCCGGTATTATATCACCAAATGTCGACATAGCGGCTGCTGATCTATCCCTGAATATTCCCACTTGTCCGTCACTTAGTATTGATCCAAATCGACTACTAGCCTGAAACATATTTAACATGGTCTTAAAAGATATTCGAACAGATTACAAAATTGTTGAGCTACTAGTTAACCGAAGACTAGACCGTGTACCTGCATGAAAGAGTTTAAGAAAGGGGAAGAAGCCACGCTGAAACTGGAGTCATCGACCAAATCACTTGTTTGAGAATGCTCGCCGTTTGTAAATGCATTCCATGAGTTTCTTGACGCACTTTCGTTTGATGTGACTGGAATGGAGACCTTATTTGTACTTCTAGAGGACAGAGCTGGAGCGCTGCATTTACCCGTAACGAAGACTTGTGATATGAGAAACCATTTTATTTTCCAAAAGAATAGTAGTTCTGGTATGGAAGAAGAAAATTTTACCTTATGGGAAGGTATTTGAAGCGGGGAACTGTGGAGCATGGCATGATGTTTGACTCTGAGTTACTAGGTAGTTTCTGGGAAGTATCTGTGTACATTCGGTTTAGTTGCACAAAGAATCCAAATAGTACTGCGTGGCGTAGGTATGACTGCTTTTCGTTCTCCCAGAGATAAGGCTCGTACCTTTTTTTAGACATTTCAAAATATACAAGAATAAGAGAATGATAAGACGAGATGATTCTCATGCGTCTTGGTCGTAGTTTAGGGATAAGGTTCCTTACGTGAGCCAGTCTATGGGATCCAACTTTTGAGTCAGTTGGGAGATCAATCCATCAATGCGACTTCTGTTGACTGATTTTGTTTGCTGTTGGCCCTGTTTTCGCCTGAAAGCTGATCTGTTCATTGTGATCTTTGGTTGTATCTCCACATTGGTGCTTGTATCACCCCCAGAAAGAACGTCCGATGCAAATCTCAAATCCAGCAAAATTTGTAAAACTCCTTTCTCTGAAATTTGGGGTTCGTTGGCCTCCCTGGCAGATAAGAAATCCTCATAAATAATGATGATCTGCATTGTACAATGGAAAATTGAAAAAAAAAATTTCTTATAAGCAAGCACCAGCTTGGAGATATCTGATGAAAGTGAAGAAGTGTGAATAGGGGACTAATTATCACTAACATTTTGCAGAGAATCGTTCCTTGCCAGAAACATTTCTGCAGCTTGTAGAAAATAATCATAGGAAAGTAAGTAGAGAGTGTCAGACAACGCACCTTCTCCAAAAGGCTTGAGGCAAACTTTTGCAAAATTGACCTATCCAGTACATGGCCTCCAATTCGATGAATTTCTTCTGATGCTCGACAGAGAAATGAAATTATATAGAGCGAAGGCAAGGACGGAAGTGATATCTTTAACTCAGATTGACTCTCGCCCTGTTCTTCCTTGACTATTGTCTCTTCCCAACCCTACATTATTACTTCAAAGGTGAGTTCGGACACAACAGAATGAACCTCGCAAATGATAACCAAAAACGCAAGAGCAAGTCTAAATTATCATATTACAACTACAAAAGAGTTAACAAAGAAAGTGAGTAACTAACTAACTATGCACATTAGTCAGCAATATCTAATATCAATGCCGGAGAGACGACAACTAAGAGAAAAAGGGGATAAGAATCAGCTATTAGTTACCCTTAAAGGAGTTGTAGCTGACAGTCCATCGTCAATCCTAAGATCACGCAAGAGAATAGCGGAGAGCTCATCCGATAACCACTGTATCCACAATGTATGAGCCTTAATGCACAGATCTCGCATAGTTTTATTAAGCTCTTCAAATTTCGGACTTGTCTTCTCGTCTGCCTTAAGTAGTGCCGCAATAGCTAACGAATTCTGCTTCCTAAGATCGTTATGCAACTGCTTTCCGGGGCTGTCAGGAGTGACTGCAGTATTCGAGCCAAATCTTGGTTGCCTCAACAAGGATGACAACTTATCCGAAACTGCATTCATAGTTTCTCTACACCACAATCTTGGAGAACCGAGAATCAGGGGAACGTGTTTCGAGTGGTTCAACAATGCAAACAAAAGGCGTCCCATAAAAAGAGATTTCTCAATAATTATAGCAGGTGGAATTGCTTCGCTGTCATTGTTTCCTTTCTTCATGGCAGCACAGAGAAATTCGACTTCCTTATCTACATCTGCTAAAAGTGCTGAGACACTGTCATAACATTTATTCTGCACGTATGGAGCAAGATCCTCTAACCTCGGACCTGCCTTTTCTGACTCAAAGAAGCTTAGAAGATCTTCTAAAACACTCTGGCAGCGGACATCAACTGCATCTCTGATTTGGCTAACCTCAGGACCAAAGTACGCAGTTAGACAACTTTGGAAGTCGCTTTCTTCAGGTGGTGATTTATTTCCGGCAATAAGACCAGGTTTCCTTGCGTTAGGCTCGATAAACCAGACACCACCACCTGTGGAAGGTCTGTTTAAATATGCTTGGAAGTTGATCTTCTCACCAGTGATCTCGCTAAAAGCATGAACCGACTCTGCCACATTGACAGCTTTAGCCAAATCCTCAAATCTAGAGTCAATAATAGATTTCATCCTTTCCACAAAGGCTTTCTCAAATATCTCATCCCATAGGTTCAAATCGTCTGCTAAAACAAGCTCCCTGATTCTATTCCAAGGCAGCTCTATCTCAGACCCAAAAACACTTTTAAGCCAATCTAAACTACCACTCAAAACATCCTTACTATCCATAGTCTCTCTTATCAACTTCTCGGCTAACCCAAGCTCTTCACCAGTAACAATATCTTCAATCAAACACTTCCCACTAACCTTCCCAACAATCCTCCCCCCACATTCCCTCAACCAACCCAAACACGCCTCAGAAATCTCAACTTTATCAAACACAACCATAACAGACTCCAAATTATCCCTAAACAACCTCCACAACGCAACCTCCTCTTCCGGATTCGGAATCCCGCCAAACAGCTGAGAAGCAGGAGGAGTACTCAAAACCGTCTTATAAAACAGAGGCATATCAGTCAAAACCCGCAAAAACAACTCCCCAACTTGCCCCACAGTGACCTCAACCACACTCAACACATCACAAAACACTGAAACAACCACACCACCACCGTTCCAAGAACTCAACTTTTGCAGGATCCAACTCTTCCTCGAGTCAAGAAACAACTCAAGAACCTCCTTCGGATCAAGCTCATCAACAACAGCAATCGCGGTCAACGCGTCGACGTAATCCCCCAAACCCAAACCCGAATCCAAAAGCCGCTCATGACTCCTCTGAGAGATCTGAACCTTAAAACTCTCCACTATCTGCCACTGATGCTCCAATAACGGAAAATTAACCAACAGTTTATTACTCTCGTCCACTTGTAACTTAACCAACCTCTGCTGCACGTGCTGTGCACGCATGTACCTCCCAGCAGCTTCTAGAAACATTGACTCGTCGAGGCATCCCCATATATTCTCCGGAGTATCCACCAGGTACTTGACCCGACACGCGATCCCGTAGAAATTGACTCTGGCTAAATTAGGGATTGCGAGTTTGGGGGATTTTGTTGAGAGGGAGCGGATGTTGCCGTGGATCGAGGAGATGTTGGTGGAGATTGACTCGGTGAGGGATTTCATGTGGACGATCGAGTCCGCTGAGTCGATTAGATCTCGGTAACGGGTGCCTACGAGTTGCCGGAGCTCCTCTTTCTTGTCCTCGATGTTTTTGCTAGTCGCGGACTCGACGCTGCGAATCTCGGAGATTGGTTTCGTGCGGAGGAGAGACTCCGCGTCTCTTTGTCCGCCGCCGCCTCCGACTACGGTGCTTCCGCGGTGTTCCGCGACGGAAGCCGATGACATTCTCATGGTTTTTTTTAATTTTTTTTTCTCCCCCGGCGTGTTTTTCGTGTTTGTTCTCTCTTTAGCAATGCATTCCACTGAGTGAAGAGGATCTGATGGGATCTGGAAATGCTATTTTGCTCAGATACAGAAGTAGAATCTCGGAATCGAGATCTGATTTCGTAGTTTCTCTGCCCTGAGATTCTGCCATTGCTGTGGAAGGAAGACGACGAGACATTAAGCGTTTTCGTTTAAATTACGAATTTGCCCCCGTTTGGTTTCGCAGTAGACGAATTCTAACCAGAACAAACCGGTTCAGTTTTCGTAGATAAGAACGGTTGTATTTTAATTGGTTTACTTAAGATCGGTTAAACCAATTACCCCGTTTGGGTGTTTCACAATAGAAAGGCCTATACTGTTCATTTAATCAGCATAGAAAATTTCTGTATCAATCACTACAGTAAGTAATAATCAGCAGATGCGATTTTAGAAATAAGAGCGGCAACTCTAGTTTATTTATCTCAAATTCGTAAATTACTTCCATCGTGACTTTATTTATTTCAGTTGATGCAATTGTTGCGTTTTAAAAATGAACAGACCTAAGAGCATCTCCAAAAGACACTCTATAAATTCAAATATGAAGTTTTTGTCTCTCCAAAACGGAATTCTAAAACTTCAAATTTAAAGTTTTGAGTAGTGAAACTTCAAATATAGAGTGTCACTATTCAAAACTTCAAATTTGAAGTTTCATATTTTATTTACATTTTGGTCCTTACAATTACACATCATATTTATAATAATCTTAAATATTTATTATTTATCATTTTAATCCTTAAAATTATTATTTCATAAATAGTTCAAAATTATTTTTATAAATTTAAATTTTCTATTTTAAAAAGGCATCAAAATAATCTTTAAAATATTTTAAAACTAGAAGTAGACAACA